TTGAGGGCCCTGTACATTGAGTAGTTTAATGTAGGGCCCAACGCTCTTATCGGGGGCCATCTGATAGCTTGCTCAGATGCACTCGATCTTTTTGGGGGCCCTCCACACCAGGTCTTGGGTTCGTTTTATTAGAATAAGGGCCCTACGCTCTTGTCGGGGGCCCATCCGATAGCCTGCTCAGGCACATTCGATTGTTCGGGGGGACTCTACACCGGGCCATCCTTTTTTGAACGGTGGGCCTAGGCACTTGTTTTGGGCCCTTTCTGTTCGCCTCACTGTTCGACCACACTGGATTGGTCGGGGACCCCGCACATTAGGTTTCGCTGTTTGAATTTAGGGCCCTGCGCTCTTATCGGGATCGATCAGATTATCTGCTCGAGACACTCCATCTTTCGGGGGCCCTCTGCACTGGGATTTCGGCACTACTTATTTGAATGTAGGGCCTTGCGTCCTTGCCGTGGCCCCTTCTGATAAGCCGCTCCGGTGCATCCGATTGTTGGGCGACCTCTACGTCGGGTCTTGGGTACTTGCTTTTTGAATGGAGGTCTTCACGGGGCCCCATCTGTTAATATTCTCGATCGAGCACCCTCGATCATTGGGAGCCCTCTACATCGTGCCGTGGGTATTTCACATTTGAATAGATGGCCCTACGCTCTTGTCGGCGGCCCCATCTTTTCACCTCCTTTGAATTTAGGGCGCTGCGCTCCTGTTGGGGCCGTCTGGTAATCTGCTAGGGTACACTCCATATTTCGGTGGCCCTCTGCACAGGGCTTGGATGCTTCTTATTTGAATGGAGGGCCTTACGTTGTTGTCGGGTCTCCTCTGATAAGCTTCTGGGGTGTATTTCATCGTTCGGAGGCCATCTGCATTGGGTCTTGAGTGTTTTTTATTTGAATGGAGGACCCTACGCTCTTGTTAGAAGCGCTATCTGTTAAGACGCTCGGACACACTCCATCTTTCGGGGGCCCTCTTCGTTGGGTCTTGAGGACATTTATTTGAATGGATGTCCCTGAGCTCTTGACGGGGGCCCGATGTAATAACCTGCTCGGGAACAGGCCCCGCGGTCCCGTCGGGGGCCCCCCATCTGTTACCTGCTCGGGCACACTCGATCGTTCCGAGGCTCTCCATGCTGTGTTTTGGATACTTTTTAGTTGAATGGATGGTCCTATGTTCTTGACCGGCCTGCTGCTTTTCCCTATTGAGCTGCTGGAGCCGGTGGTGGATACAGACGGGGAGGGGAAAGTACGGGATCATGCCCCTCATGAACCATGCCGAGGGACCTATAGGTTCCCAAGGGGCCCATGACTGGCCGACCGGACGCAGTTTTCTAACAAAACGTTACATGCAACTCAATTGGACGTCTTTCGGCCCACAGACAACCAAGAACGGCTACTGGCAAAAGTAAGGACTTCATGAGCAGATGAAGTTAGTTCTTTGCTGATTGAGAAAGCGTTGCTTGGGGAAATTTTGCGGTTCATTACGGTGTTCAGAGACATAGCGCGGTTGCTTGGACCCTATATGTCCACTTGTCGGGTCAGTCTTATCGCTAGGGAGCATTCTACGTTGCCTTTGATATCTTTGCACTTTCTCGTGGGGCCCAATGCCGCTGTTGGGACGCTATCTGCTTCTATGCCTGAGCACTCTTGATCGATCAGGTTTCCCTCCACGGATTTCTCCCGTTTTCCCGAAAGGCTCTGTACTGCTTTTCCTGGGCCTCATACGCCAGGGTACACTCAGTTGCTCAGGGGCCCATCATATTAGTATCGGGTTCTTTCCACTTACTCGAGGAGCCTGAGCTCTAAAAGGGGTAAAGGGTCCGTATCACCTGGGTTTCAGCCAAGCGTGTTTTGTCCAAAAATGATCGCCGAAAATGGTATTATCTGTTTTTATATTGGCATCTCGCAGATGTTCATTATATCTCAAACCAATAGGGTGCAAGGACTCCCCGACATCGAAGACATCACTCCTCTGTTTTTTTTTCACAAAGTTTTGACTTGACACGCGCTCGGGTGGGGGTCAAATTGACCCCGCCCCGAAAATTTTCTGAAATGATTTCGGAATGGCGCGGCGTAGCCGCGCCAAATTTTGCATAGCTGTAGATAACTTAATACCGGATCGTCTGGCATCAAACATTTAGATGCACCATGTAAGGCCACTGACCTATGGCAGGTCAAAGTTAAGTCATGGTTTCATCGAAGGCAACTTTTAGGGAATCGTTCAGTCTCAGCCAACAACGGAGTGTTAAGCGAAGCCATACATCCCTGAGATACTTTCTTAGGATACACAACAATTGCATAAACAAATTAAATTGAAATGTGGTCAGGTGTGGAGGTCAGACCAAGGTCAGGACCAACCCTTTTTATTACTATAGGGACTGCTGTATGGGGTAGTTTCTGGTGCTCATTTAAAATTTATTAAAATAGAAACCATATTTTACACCTTCCATAGACTTCTTAAAGGTCAGAATAAGTCACTGATCTAAAATGACCCGGGTTAACACATTGTTTTTAGCAGCATACTGCCTAGCGTTATCTTTGTCATTATCCAACTACAAAACTCAAAGCAGTCTTGTATGATTTTGGTCACCATGACTTTCACAAGGTCAAAAAACGCCACTGATCTCAAATGAGCATGTGACCTTTTGCTTAATATAGTTATCTAGGTTCTAGAGGTCCTTTGGAGATTAGCCCGGAATTTGATTTTGTTTGACTTTATTTCATCCAGAGATCATGACCTAGAAACCTCGAACTTCAACCTAAGTGAGTTCACGTACAGGTCAACACACCCTGTGAATTTGGCGTCTCTAGCTCCCTTAGTTCCTGAGGTCTCGGCGGATGAAATTACCCCCCCCCCCCCCCTCCCCTTCTCCCACCCGAGCAAAGGGTATTAAACCGGCCACCTGGGCGCGCGTTAATTTCATAAACCCCGCTGTTTTTCGTGCAAACCCCTTGAAGCCTAGGCTGGCATAAGTAACATTTATTGCCCCTCGGGCACTTAAGCTTCGAGAGAGGCTGTTTCACCTTAGACTTATTTTAGCTTCTTGTTCGTCCAAGCTACGAGTACGCCCAATTTGGATTTCCTAAAGATATGTTTGATTTTCAAAAGCAAGTGCTCATCTGTGTAAGGTGGTGTTAAGAATCCGCCGGTTGACGGGGCGTGTCCCCGTTTCCCGCCATACATCCCCCTACGTGCTCTAGATGTTTTGACCTCTTCCAACATTCGACCTAATGGTCGTGGAGAATATCCATTGCCCAGCAGCTAAGTTCATGTTTGTATGCTCATTTCGTCTTTTTCACTGCTTAATAAGTTGCTTAGGGCCATATGGAGCTCATTTCGAATTATATTGTGCTTAATGAAAGCCGGATGCGCTTTGCTGCGCTGATGCGAAGATTGGCAGTGCAGGATCATTTCAGAATTGGTGGGCTTGATCACAGCTCCGTTTCTAACGTTGTACGGTTGTTCCTCTTTTCTACCGTCACTAGTGTATCCAAATGCGGGCCCCCTTTCTGTATGCATCGGCGGATCCTGGGGGGGGGGGGGGGCGCGGGGCCATGGCCCCCCCAAAAAAACTCTGAGTATGTTTTGCCCCCCCCCAACAAAAAAACATTCCCAGAACTCATAAAAGTCTCGTCTACTTACCATCTATTTTCACCGATGGTGCGGTATCAAATATTCCTTTCCGTTTCGGAAAAAAACTTCAGGAAGAAAAGTTGGCAGCGATTTGAACATCAAAACAAAACGCATGTTGACGCGGCTTAGTCATACTCGGCGCAAACATCGTGTTTGATAAGCACGTGGGTGGCTGAATTGCTGAGCGTTAGTTTCGGAAAAAAATTTCATGAAGAAAAGCTGACAGCGATTTGAATATCAAAACAAAACGCGTGTTGACGCGGCTTAGTCATACTCGGCGCAAACATCGTGTTTGATAAGCACGTGGGTGACTGAATTGCTGAGCGTTAGTGTCGGAAAAACGTCATGAAGAAAAGCTGGCAGCGATTTGAATATCAAAGCAAAACGCATGTTGACGCGGCTTAGTCATACTCGGGGCATACATCGTGTTTGATAAGCACGTGGGTGATTGAATTGCTGAGCGCTAGCACTGCGCGAGGACCGTTCAAGAACCAGAAGAACCGGTTGCCGCCCCCCCCCCCAAAAAAAAACTCCAGGATAGATCCACCCCTGTCTGTATGGTCCATTGTAAAGACTGAACTGGGTAAAAAAGTTGGCTGAACACTACCTGACATAGATGACCACTTGCTCTGGGAAATTCAACATATCCTTACAAAATTAAAACCGCGCTTGCGCATAGCTTAGAAGAACGATAAGGAGCTAAAAAACTCTCTAGTCAAATATCTGGTCTCGAAGTATAAGTGCCCGGGGTGCGGTAGGTGTCATATATGCATGCCAGGGTTTTAGGGCGTTTGCGCGCGAAGAAATGTTGTTTACGAATTTTAGCGAAAACTGCGCGAAAAACATGGGAGGTACATAGTCTATGTTGGGAAGTCCATGCGTCCTACTCGTTTCATTTGTGATGAACACCTGCGAGATGCCAAAAACGAAACAGATAGTGAAAAGAACTCTTCGGCGACCGGCGACCAACACCGGAAACGTGTAATTTTCACATCGTGAAAAGGCTGGAGGACACGGGTTGGCAACCGGTTCGGGTTTCGGTGGCCAGATGTCGCAGTCATCAGACTTGTACTGAGACTACCCTAATACATAACATGTGACATATTCCCAACCCTGATAAAAGCGTCTGCAGCCCCCTCCTGGTTAACCTTCAGGAGAGGAGCTCACAACTAGTCCACCAACCGATCAGCCGCGTGACAACGGTGACAGAGGGGGCTTGCCTGAAGGCCGTCGAGAACCTTCTCAGTTAGATTATGTCCTTACTCATTTTGCATGCAATCTATCTAACTTGCTCACTTTCACTTGTCATCTCTAAGGTTCTATATTTGTGATCCCAGCAGCCAGACGTGGTGAAAGCGGTGTACAAAAATAATACCATGGTGAATAATACATGGCGAAATACATGTATATATACAATACAATACAATAATACATGATGAAAGTGATTCCTTGCCTGAAGGCCGTCGAGAACCTTCTCAGATAGATTATGTCCAAACAAGTGTGCGTGGGCAGTCACTTAGTGCGTGGGTAGGCCTACAAAAGGCGGATCGTGATTGAAAACGTCCACGTCCTTAGATGCTGCAGTCGAAATGTGAGACTGAGCTGGGTGTGGCGAAGAGCAGAGAGAAACTCACACATCGTCGGTGCTTCCACATTTGTGCGCGCCGACTGTTCGCGGGAGGTTCACGGACACGCCTTCCGCGTCGTGACCGACCAAACAGTAGACACAACACTTCTCACCACGTCCATGAAGTTGCCGCACCTTCTCTATCACGCTCAGACCGTGTGCTCGTAGAGCAGGCTGCGAAGGAACAGGCCGGCATCCGTGCAAGACGTCTTGAGTCATATGTCGGTCATATCACGAGAACCAAGGCAAGTTTCTGGCTTATAGAACAGATCATGTCCCGTAGTTGAGTCAGTCTAATAAATATCTCGAAATGATGCCCTACATTCATGAGTCAGAATCAGAGCCCGCGTTCAGCTCTTGCGTCCTGCCCGGGGGTGGAAACAAAGTGGATCTTTTGTGCTGTGAATCTGTGTTGGATTTAGTTTTGCTGGTGCGAAATCGGCCACAAGTATGACATCATGTCACTTATTTTACTGCCACGCCCTTCTAAAAAAAACTTCGGTAACTTTTGCGAGGCTGGAACTTGTTTGTCAGTCAGGTGCGCTGCCCACAATCGCAGTCTGCATCCTCCGATAGTTGCAGGCCCAAACACGATGTCCACCGATAGTGCCCAAATGTAGTACATTGCAATACGCTGTTATAATGCTGTGGCGGGGATCACCAGCAGACAGCGGTCGATAGTACAGCAGCAGCGTCTAGTCATCCGAAAGCATACCGGCACGCGCGACCGACCGTCTCAATGACGTCACTGTTGCCGAACAAGATGTCACGCCTTCCTGCGTTCCCTCCCGTAGTCAACGTGACCTTCGTCCTTGCATTCCCTGACAACATCGTCGGGCACCACGTTCTTGGTCAGGCGCACGAAGTCGCTCCACGGACAGCTGACGTCGCAGCCGGGCAGCTGCAGCTGGTGCGGCTCCGTGGAGCTGTCGTTTCTGTAGAACAGCTGCACCAGCGGCCCCGCGTCCGGGTCCGAGTGCAGCTCCACCAGCAGGCAGCTGGCCAGCGGCGGCGCTAGGCCGTTGTAGACCTGCGGAGGCGGCGAACGGGCGATGATGGATGGGGGACCTAGGCGACGCGGAGACGCGAGGGCGGCGAGGACGATCGGGTGTTGGACGTGGTGCGCTGACACGAGCGTGTTTGGTCTGTTACGATTTAAGCATGTTACGCGTGTGGAACAAGTTCTGGCGAGCATTCCATAGACTTATGCCTTGCGCATGTTTGACATAAGCCCCTAACCGACTAGCTGTGCATTTTGTCACCGATGCCAATCTGTCTGAGTATGTGGAGAGTTAAGACGCCCGTGAAAGGCTCATAAATGCCCAAGCCAATGATGGTCCCGAGATGATCCGGTCTGTGGGATGGCTTAATCATCTCGTGGGTTTTGTCTCTAGGCCGGTGTATGCTGCAATCATTATCACCAAAATTTCGCTGCCAAGTTTTCAGGGTTTAACTTTATCCTTGATCCACGTCAGCTTTGGTTTGCACCTCTTTGAGCTCTGTTCTCAATAGCGAGACATTAGGCCCCAGACCAAAGCATCTAAAACCTTCTCCAAATTGAAATCAAGGCTGGTGCTGAAAACCGTCCACAAAAACCATCCCGTCCCCGTCCCTACGAGGGGCCCATATAGTTTTCTCGGCGGCTGCACGGGAGAGAGTGGCCACAGTACGTGACACGCAGCACGAAAACGCCACCAGCCAGCGTACCTGCAGCGTGGTGAGGAGACAGGCCACGTTCACGTCATGCGCTGAGTACACGAACATCCTCCGGCTGGGCGGCTGCAGCGTGCCATCCATTCGCGCCTGCATGTTCTCCAGCATCTCCTTCAGCAGCGGACCGCCGCCCAGACGGCGCAGCAGCGGCGTGGCGCCGAACACGCCGAACTCGATGTCGTTCAGCGGCTTCATCAGGTCGGGGAAGGCGGGGGCGGTGGCGCCTGGCGGCGGCGCCAAGGCCCAGTCCGGCGTCGTCAGGTTGTGGTGCGCCTCGATCCAAAGCGTGTCGTACAAGTAGCTGAGCTTCTCAAGGTCGGTGACGTCCTTGCCGCTGTGCTCGCCGAGGTAGGCAAACAGCGCGGCGTTCCGTGCGACCAACGCCGCCATCTCGGGCGAGTCGAACACGCGCTCGCGCTCGCGCTGGTAGGCGGCGCAACAGTCGTACGACTTCAGCTTGAGGTCGGTCTGCACGGGCCGCGTGTGCACGGGGATCGGCTGCCAGGCCAGCTGGGCGTCCCACACATCAGCGCCCTGCGGCGGGTACAGACCGGCCAGGTTGACCTGCGCCGACATCAGCGTGCGGTCCACGTCAGTCGACTCGACGCGCGTGTAGTTGAGGTGGTAGGCCGCCGGCAGGAAGCCGTCGTACCGCCGCCGTAGGTAGCGGCCCAGCTCCAGCTGGTTCCGCTTCCCCTCATTGGTCAGCTGACCCTCGCCCTGCGGCCAGGCACCCCGGTTCGGGTCGGTCGGATACGGGTGGATCGGCGTGCGGGCGCCGTGACGGTACAGCACGTGCACCAGCTGGAGGGTGGGTGGTGCCGCCCGCGCGCACCAGCAGCCGGCCAGCAGGGTCAGGAGCAGCGGAGCGCGCATCGTGCCGCCAGCGGTACAACTGACGCCGGCCACGCCCGGCGCGTCGCGTCGAGTGGCGGCTGACGGGAAGGGCCAGGGGCGCGCTCAGGGTCAGGAAGTGCGGGCGAGGGCGGAACCACGGAGAATGGGTAGGGACGCGTTCCGGGGTAAGGATGCACAGACTGGGTCGGGATCATCGAGAAGGGGTAGGGCCACGCTCAGGGGTCAGGGGGTATGAACAGGGGTGGGATCATGGAGAAGGGGCCGGGGCACGCTCAGGGGTCAGGGAGTGTGAACAGGGGCGGGATCATGGAGAAGGAGCAGGGGCGCGCTCAGCGTTAGGGAGCAAGGACAGGGGAGGGATCATGGAGAAGAGTCAGGAGCACGCTCAGAGTGGAGGGGCAGAGGCGTGCCCAGGAGTTAGGGCGCAGACGCTGGAATGTGCTCAGGAGTCAGGAAGTGGAGGTTGTGGCGTGGTCATGGATGAGGGAAAGGCTGGCGTATTCTCGGGGACTATCGAGATGACACAGAGGTGCGCCCAAGAATCACGCTCTGGGATCTGGATCGATGACAGCGGTGATCTCGGAGCCTGGTGACCCGAGGTTCAGACAATGGGATTGTCTCGGCAAAGCACTCAATCGGCGGCAGCAGCAGCAGCGGGCGATTCTTCCGCGACAACATCCCTGGCGAAGTGCACAGACTAATGGAACAGTCTGGTGGCCCAAAACAGAGTTAAATCAACTCAGAAATACCACCGAACAGCACCAGGAGAGTGCTAGTGCAATCTGTTTAAAAATACCAGCCAGACGTTGGATGATGTTGAAAACCACAACCGTGTGGGCACCGGACTCGCCCCTCTTTCAATGCTGCAGTGTTGAAATGGTGTAAGAGGTGATCATAACACGAGCTCCAACTTCAACGACATGGAATGCATTGGTTACATCAGGCGATGACGCAGGGACAGTGGCGTCGCCACAGTTTTCCTAAGGGGGATGTGAAGGGGGAGCAGCGGAGGTTGGTGAGGACACATCACGCCAATTTTAAATGATTATTGGCAGCTATCGGCAGCAATTTGTAAATACAAAATCACGGGCTAAGGGAGGAAGGGCACCTCCTCCCCTTGGCTGCGCCTCTGCACAGGAACGATGTCTGTGGTCAATAGCGTGTGATCACCGGTCTTCCTTCGAACGATTCATGGACTGCCCTCCGCATTTCCCTCGCCCTCATCTGAACTTCGAAAATGCCCATATGCTTAATGGTAGGAATGGATTATGCTAAACATCAAAGCAAGAGCACAGCAGTCAACGCAAAAATGCATGAAGTGGATTTCCAGACACAGATGGCAGCAACGGCTCATTAACTGGAAGTTGGGTTTCATCTGTTGTCCTGGATGGATCGCCCCTTGTTCACCACCCTTAATGATAACTTACCCTTCGTCCCTGTACAATCCTTTAATCAAACAGTCAAACCTTTGTTACTAGAGATCGCTTGAGTTTTAGACGCATCGCGTATGACCCTACCTTTACCTCGCTCATCGACACGATGCATCCCGCTGAGTAGTGCGCGAAGCTCTGACCAAATTAGGAGATGCCAAACATCACCTCTTGATGGGAGTATACTTCGCCTCATTGGTAGGGGCAGAAATACGCATGTAATCAACCGCCCTTCAAAACTCTGCTAACGGCTGCGTCCGCTCCGCGTCACGTGGCCCAGGGAGCACAACCAGCACAATTTAACACTATCCAAGGTTGCAGCATCGATCTGCTTGAGAATAGAGATGGTTTAGGCACAAAGCTTGTAAATGTCAGGTGCGGGGGATTATCGCAGCACCTAATGTTCGTAACCCCTAATGTATCACAACACCTAATGTTCGAAATACCTAATGTATCACAAGGCCTAATGTTCATAACCTCTAATATATCATAACCCCTAATGTATTATAACCCTAATGTTCGTAACTCCTAACGTATCACATGGCCTAATGTTCATAACCTCTAATATATCATAACCCCTAATGTGTCACTACACCTAAGGTATCATTAGGCCTAGTGTATCAAATCACCTAATGTTTCACAACTCCTAATGTATTGCAACTCCTAATATATCACAACACCTAATGTATCGGAACGCCTAGTGTATCATAACCACTAATGTTTCATAGCGCCTAACGTATCGTAACGCCTAACGTTCATAACCTCTAATGTATCGCAACTCCTAATGTATCATAACGCCTAATGTGTCAAAACACCTAGTGTATCATAACCCCTAACGTATCGTAACTCCTAATATCAGCTGACGACGCTGGCGAGGGCGGGCGATTTTCAACCCTTTCCACCGCATCTGAACTTCCACTGAAGTCTACCAGATTATGTGGGCGTTTGTGCCGCATACAGTACTGGAAGGCGAGGCAAGGTGGGCGGTGTCCGAAAACTCATTCTTGATTCTTGTCATAAGACTAAGTCAAGTCTGCTTTCAGGCAAGCACCCCATGCAAGAGGCCTCACGTAAACGTTTCCCATACAAGTACCAAGAGAAAGTGCGTGTGCAGTGCATTTCTGCGCTGCTATTCGGCATAGCTGCGTTCGTTTTTATCAACCTCGGCAGATGACTTAACATGAAATCAGTTACTTTTAGTACTAAACTTTGCTCACATGAAAAATCATCGTCGCTCACGTTGTGGAGCAGTAACCTGAGGAACCAAATATCGTTATTTTCAGGGGCCATCCTGCGCAGCACACCACGCTACGGTGTCTCCCACAACAGCACGAAATAGGTATCAGGAAAATGGTTTGCGCTGGAGAGACTGCGACGACGGCACGAAACACCGCGCTGACGACTGCAGCAACGGCAACGCATAGCATTCGTTGAATGGTTTGGTGATTATTGCATTGGGCATGACAACAGAAGAGTGCATGTTTTGTGCAATGGGCGACTCTGGACATGGTGTCCAACAATCCGCACTTGCGTTGCAGCAAGTTGGCGGCAAGCGGCAAGCAGGTGATGCGCAGTCAATGGGTTACAGCATCGACCGCAAGGCGGTCTGTCGCCAGCCAATGCTATGGCGGTGTGTAACATATGTGTGTCATATGCGTTGTTGACAAAGGGCAAGTTCCTCCTTCGTATTGTTGCGGAAACACGACTGCAACTTCCGATACGGGGTTTCACAGAGTTCAGCCCCCTCCCACCCGCTTGGGTTCAATCCACGACGAACTTCGAGAGGAGAGGTCCAAAGCCGGATAAAAAATCGTTTGTTGGTGTTTTTTCGTGGTAGGTTGAGTCAGTTTTTGCTGTTCGGGCCCTCCTCCCAATTCACTTTCGAAACCACGGCCGCTGTGCGCGTTGATTACCCTGCTTGAGAGCCGGCGATGGTTTTACGGTTCTATTTGACCGGTCGGACTCGCCATTACGGTATTTTCGGGCGGCCATGCTGTGTGACAATGCTCCAATATACGATACCACCCTAGCACTCGCCGAGAGATGGCAGCACGATGATGTTCGGTACACTTTAGTAGACTGCACATCGCCCAGCTGTGCGGGTCAGAATCGTGTGCGACGAACCCACAGCAGTCAGCTGATTTAGGAGTTACGAACATTAGGGGTTATGATACACTAGGTCTTACGATACATTAGGTGTAATGATGTATTAGGAGTTGTATTACATTAGAGGCTACGATCGTTAGGAATTACGATGCGTTGGGTCTTACGACACATTAGGTGTTATGATACACTAGATATTATGATACATTAGGGAATATGATGTATTAGGAGCTGTGTTACATTAGAGACTACGAGCATTCGTGGCGGAAGTGTCGAGATCGTGGCGGAAGTGTCGCATTCGGGGCCAGGGGCGGATTCATGATTTTATCGAGGAAGGGGGGGGGGGCGGGGGCACGCAACATTGTGGGGCCAGTAGAGTTAAGGGCCCCCACAAAAGATTCCTTGCATTCCGGGCATTACATCTGAGCTGGCGCCCACGCCAGGGAGTTGACTTCCACCCGACGGGTTTCGAGCACAGGCCAAAAACGATTGCACGCAGCGCCACGAAATTTTCACTACCTGTTTATCTATCAATTGGGCATCCTGTTTGCTAATTTCAGCTTTGCTCTGCCAAGACTGGTGACCTAAGTCAGGTCAAAAAGGCCAACCTCTAAAAAATGGTTATTTGCCATTGTTCAGACTTGTAGTATCAGAACATGTTACCCGAACTTTGCAAAGTTCAGATTTTTTCGGAGAAGACGAAGCCAGTGACCACGTCAGGTCAATTTGTCTATTTTTCGCAATAGTGCAAATTTACTCGTTTTTGCATTGCTTCGGTGCTTATGTATGAGAACTATATATACTCATATATATATATATATATATATATATATATATATATATATATATATATATATATATATACTCATTTACATGCATAGCCATCATATGACCACAGAGCATATGATCAAGTACAAGTACAAGTCATGTACAGTACAGTCAGTACAAGTACAAGTACAGGTACAAGTCATGATCTATTTATAAAGGTACCTTCTGCAAAATACATACATAGCTCTACATAAAAAGTTTTATAACGTAATTTTGAACGTGGAGTTCGGAACTCTACGGAAAAAATGTTGCGATGTCATTCTAACGTAAAGTGAGGTAACAATAGGTCATGTGAGAATATGCAAGGTCATACGACGTCATCCAAGGTCAATGACTAATGTTGCCAGTAGTGGAGAGGCTAGGTGAACAAGCGCGGCGCGTGCAACCACCTCATTATCGTGTTTGTGAAGCTGATGGCTTATAATCTCATGTACCAATGTACCTGTTCTCAGCTTGTTACAAATGCATTGCCAGGCGTCGAATGGACTATCTATAATGTAAACAGCACCTGTGCGATCTTGAGTGCCTGTAGATATACGTTACACTATTTATGACAACAGAAATGCATTGTCCTGGTCATGTGGACCCGGTCAGCACTGCTATTTTTTTAATTTTATTGTTTATACGTTTGACCTTAGTTGAACTCAGATGACCTCTA